TGGCAAAGCCCATCATGCAGATCGCAATTGTGGATGTCGTGAAATTAATTAGGAACGTAAAATTGAAGATGTGATTGATTCGGTTGGCCAGGTGCAGCAGGCGGCTGTGGTACGAAAGCAACGCCTTGAGCTCTTCATTAGCTCCAGGCCGAGCAGCATCCAGCAGGCGCAGGGCATTGGCCAGCGCATCGAAATGCAACTGCATTTGGGTAATGAAAAAGCAGAGCAAAAATTGACCTGCCATGATGAATGCGACGCCCACCAGGGAGGAGAGGGCCTGGCAGAGATACGATGTCATAAAACTGGCTGACGGGTGCAGATCGGACACTAAGAGCCAGGGATACCAGGTATTGCTTTGGAATTTGTAGCTGACATGCTGCGATTCGGAGATCCACTCGTACAGCAGCTGCAGCACGGGCAGCGCATTGTAGTAGCCGAAAGCGAAGATGAAGAAGATAGTCGTGCATCTCATTGGGCGTGTCGACTTCTCGTAGTAATGGGCAATGCGATAGATTCGGCTTTGATTACCTTGCACTGGATACAGCTGCTGCAGTTCGGCGAGCATCGACTCAATATCGCTGCGACGGTGCAGCAGCATCCACATGTTGGTGGCACCGACCAACGTGAGGCCCATCACGCTGCATGTTTCTGAAATTTGTGCAACATAGGCGCCCAGCTGCTCGGCGGGTGGCTCTGCCAGGCACAAATAGATGAGCATGCCCACGTTTTGATAGATCAAATTCAATGCGCCAAATTGAAACCACAGACGCTGCAGCAAACTCTGATGAGCACGGGGCATTCCGCTGCCATTCCACTCGTAGCGGCGCATCATAGCCAGTCGGCAGCCAATGCTCGGGTAGTGCATGAAATCATACAGCTGCATTCTGCACGTTGTCCAAAACTTATATAGTCAGGCTGTCAGCTTGGAGTCAGCTTTTATAGGCCGAATATGGAGCGGCGTAATCAAAGCGCTCATTAAACAATTTGCACTGCTTTGATATTGAGCAATTTGGACGTAATAGGGGAATAAAATAGAGATAGTATATAATGAGCTCCTGGGAATAAGCATATGATCAATTAGATTAACGACTAACTGCCACGGCTACCTTCGCTTCCCATCAATTCTCAAAAAAAAAAAGAAAAGCAAACCATTTAGGTGCTCGCAACTTGTCCCATTTGCATGAACTTTTAGTCAAGGCTGCGAGCACTTTAAATATTAATATAAAAAGGCGAACCAAAGTACTTTTAAATATTTAATATTTCTATTTGCCGTTCGGTAAGTGTTCAAGTTTCGTCTCTGCTGAAAAATTGCAAAAGTTCTGAGAGCACTGTGCAGATTTATCACCGTTGTTGCTCTTCCCTGTGCCATTGGCGGTGCCATTGCCGTGGCTAAAGCCAGAGATTCGCCATAATAGAAATGTAACTGGCCGCCATCAGTTTGGCTAGCTCGGCAGGATATGAAATGGAGGTGTGAATGCCAAAGATGAGCTTGCTCTTGGCCCGGATTAAGTGCCAAACACAATCAAACGGAAGTTGAAGTGAAGCTGCTGCAAATAGCATTTGAAAATAAAGGGAAAAAAGAAACTTTCATAATTTATGAAGCTCAGTTGATTTGCAGAATATTCAACTATTTAAATGCATTTGCCAACTGCGCCCTTTGGCCAACACAATTATTTTGGCTTTATTATTTATTCGTTTCGCTGGGAAATGTGCAAAACTTTAAGCCATAATTTTCACAGTTTCTATTAAAGAGATCAGGTGTGTTTGCTTGCCGGCATTTATGGCTGTAAATATGTTTTTATGTGCTGGTGCGTTGTCGTTTTGAGGCACTGTCTACATCAAGCAGAAGCTTCTGTGACAAGCAAATAACGAAGACAGTCGTTTGTTTATTTCTTTTATATTTGTGTCAACCTCATAATGTGATGCCTTTAAGCCGGCTATCAGTCTTTTATATTTAGCCCGCTGCTGCTGTCGCTGTTGCCAGCAGCGCTGGCTGGCATTATTGTGCGTCTATTTCTTTCGCTGTATGTGTCTGTCTATGTGTGTGTGTGCGCGCACACTCCATTTCCGCCGGAAGCTTTGTGGCAAACAGTCAGATTCGGCGTGCACTCGTATATGTTTCGTACTTACCGCTTGATGCCTTGTTTATTTCTTTGTTTATGGCCATTCTTGTTTTTATGGCTGCCTTCGTTTCTTCCTTTTTTTTCTCCTCCTCCTCTTCTTCTTTTGCATCGTCCCACCGCAACATTCTGATTGTCGCTTTTATATTTATGTGGTTCGTACGGTCGCGCCTCATATGGTAAGCCTCTGTCTTGGCTCCGGGGGGAGTGTCTATGTCTATGAATTCGCCTTGACTTGGCCCTTTCGCTTTATGCTCCAGTCATTGTGTTTCTTTATCCTTGTGAATTCGTTAGTGTTTATTGTTTTCGCTTTTTTTTTTTTTTGTTTATTTTTTGCTGCGCGTCACCTCTTGCCGGTCGCTTGTTGTGGTAATTAAACTTTGATTGCTTTTAAATTGTTTTTATTGATTGACAGAGTTAGCGTCAATTTTAGCTGAGCACTGCTTGCTGCTAACGAGTTCTGCTTGATGGCGAGTTCCACTGGAAACTCTTTTGGCATCTCTCCTATTGATAGAAATCGAAAACAATTGCTGCTGTCATGTCGAAACTCTAATTGAACTAACAAGAGCCAAAACATTTATTTAATATGGACCAGAGCAGACGTGCACTCGTTAAATTTTTCATTCTATTACTACCTTTACTTTATATAGTATATATGTATATATCTATATGATATTTTTATTGATCCTATTGGGCAGTTGCAGTCTTTCGCATTATGTAAAAGCGAACTGATGCTTTTAGCCACTTTGGACTCAATTTGCGCTCGGCGCGTGCAGCGCCAAGACAAACTGAGCGGCGAAAATTTGGCAACGGCAACAATGTTGTTCTGGCCAAATAGACTTGCCCCGCAGATAGATCTCGAGTGCGGCACGTACACAACGTCAATTGCCAGGACTCAGCTGAAGCTCAACTCGAGCGGCAGCTGCGCGAAATAGACAATCTAAATTATAACCAAGTGAAGGCGGCAGGCATAACGGCCATTGAAGGTGGAGTGTGGGTGGTAGGCGACGGGAGGCTGGCGTGAGTGTGAGTAATAGTTTTGGCTGGCAGCGTGTCCGCCTGGAATTTATGGACGTAGTCCAGCCAAATGCCACTTGCCTGGTAGTCACTTTGAATACTTGGCAGCCATTGCCAATGGCAATGGCATCCATCTTGGCTACTGACAACTGTAAAGAAGTGCGTCCAACTGTTGGATTTATCGATTCGCTGGAGGAGGGCAGCCTTTTAAACTAATTAGGCTTGGAGCAACACTTGCTCGCAGCCATGCTGGCCCTGGTTGCTGGCCAGCCAGCACATGCTACTAATTTAGAGGGGATTTCTGAAAATTACGCGCTTGTTTTTGGCCGCAGCTTAAATAAATTGCCAAAACACTTGGATTGGGTTCGGATTTGGTTGGGCCGACAGCAAGCGTATGACCCATTTCGGACCTTGGTCAGCAGCTATAAATTCAATCGAAACTAAATTTCAAGCGGCGACTTTTGTTCGTGTTGTTTACAAGATTTCCGAGATCCCTATCCGTTCTCGCCCCCTCCTCATACTACCTCCTCACCTTCCCCGCTCGCCAATGATGCCCAAGCGGCGAAATTTATGTGCATCGCCCATGAAAATTAAACGGATTTTCCAGCTCAGCTGCCTTCACATTCAAACTTTCAACTATTCGGCAAAAATAGTGTGAAAAATACAGCTGACTGCCGTCCGAAAAAATGTTCGTAAATTAAGATTAATTATTCCATTATTTAAGACTGAATTTATTTGCTTTTATTGGATTTATTATTACGACTTGGGCAATTTGTGTAAATGCAAGCTTTGCAGTTTGCCTCGCCTAGGAGCTCATTACTAGTCTAATAATATAGATTTTGACTTCGCAGTGTATTAAGCAATGTTATTGCTCTTTATTCCTTACAAGCACTCCACTCTCTTAGACTAGATATACTAGTCTGACGGCTAACAACCATATTCACATCATTTTATTATGAAGACATCCCATTGCCGATTATCACGCTCGTTTGCACACGCGCAGCGGAAAGCATAAATATGTGTATTAAAGAATTTATTATTTCTCCCCGCACAAAAAGAATTTCATGCTCCTAGAGTGGAAGGTCAGCAATAAAACCTTTAATACACTCGTACTCTCTCACTCTCTCACACGTCTATTGCTATCGTCTATGCGGTCTAGCTCTAATGTGATCTGACTCTCCCTTTCTCTCTTAGATTGCTTACATTCTTATCGTGAGCTAGTTGACGCTGCGTGTGTCCACATATAAGTGTATATAGCCTTTAGTTACATACATATATAGGTAAGAACATAACTTTTAATATATATCGTTATTGTAAGAGTCATACAACAAAGTTATGGCCTTTGATTAACCATTAAATTTCATTTATTTACAGCTGAATATTTCTTCTAAAATAAAACTAGTAACTATACCTCACAAAATGCAAACAATTTTAATGAAATATTTATGTAACAAATAAATTACAATTGCATGAAAATTGTACATTTAAAATAAAAAACCAGATGTGAAAATATTGTAAAAATGTATTTACTTTGATCTAATTCATTCGACGCTTGACTGAGAGATTTTGCGATATTTCGTTAACAAAAATTCAGGAACTTCTATAACGGCAGTTTTCTTAATCAATGAAAAAACATGAGACACAACTTTATTAACATTTTAACAGAATAGCATGCTTTGAGAATTCAACCGAATCTGTAGGCATATCTCAATAAACACAACGATATATTCAGTAGTCTCATACTAGTGCTCACGGCAAACAGATCCTAAAATATTCAAATATTTTATAAACATAAATATATATTTATAGAAAATAAATATATTTAAAAATCAATATATCTGTATCTAAAATACATATAATACAGTAAACACAACTATTGCATAATCATCAGTCACATGCTAGTGTTCCCAGTGAACTGATGCTGATAATAAAATATTTCAATATTTTGTATAAAAGGTGAGTGTTCTTTTATTCATAAAAATAAAAAAGAAACTGATATAAAGAAATATGAAAAAATACATATTTATTATTTGTTTGTTGATTTATTTATATTTTTAAATTTATATTAATTTATTCTATTTGCAGGATCTAGTTTGAATTGTTTTCGAAATTTATCGAAGGCTGAGCAACAGCTATAGAATTTGATTGATCCGATTAGAGGTTAATAATAGTCGCATTGCAATCAACTATTAACTGTTAACACACGAACTCTAAACTAAAGAGGGATTCTACTGACTCTGAGCATACGTCAATAGGTCAATTACTAACTACAGCTATTATGGCACTAAGCCCAAGAGAGCCCAATATGCCTAAAAAGCTGATTATTGATCAAGCTAAGATTGATTTTGAGGAGATTGCAGAACTTCTTCAAGTACAGCCTTCAGAGCATGTGGAAATCAATGGAAATGAAGGTGTTAAAATAATCCTTCGATCGATAAACTTCAATCATAAGTCAGCAGATCTGACCATATACTTTAAGAAAAAAATCGATGCCACAGTCTTGGCTGCCTTGCCAGATTTGATTAACATCTCTTCTTTATTGCTTGTTGCAAATCACAAGATGGGAACATTGAAGCCACTCTTTGAAGCTATGTCGTCACTAGAATCACCGAAACTGAAACGATTAAGCTCAACGTCATCTATTATTTTTGATGGCATCAATTCTGAAGATTACGACAGGCAGATATCACCTAGAAAAATTACTACATTTAACAATGAAGAATTCATGGCGCTACTAAAGATACAATCCCTCAAAATTATAGATTGTCAATTATGTGATCTACGAGACACAGAGTTTCCTTCCCAATTGCCTCAAATTGAAGACTTGTCCATTCGTTCTTTCAGAGGCGGATCTCTGGCAAATCTTCTTCGCGCACTAGCATTGCAGGAAGACTCAAAGCTCTGTGATTTGCGCATAGAGGAACACCCACTCAGCACTGAAGAGATCTCTCAGATCGTGAAGCTAAAGTGCTTAAATTCCCTAAAATGTGGATTTGCCGACATTAAAAACCTATATATGATTAGCAAACTACCAAAATTGCAAATATTTGGAATAATCTCACGGCATAAGCTCAAGGAAATCTCAGAAAATCTATTAAAGCTAATAATGTCATGTAATCGGACTTTTAGCATCTATTATACGGATGTCCTGAGTGTAGATAGGAGTATGCAAACACTTACTATTCAAATGAATAAGACTATGTATTCAGAAGAGTTTGAACCCTTATCAAATTTTCCCAATTTACTTTATCTAGTAATAAACGGATCACATGCCATTGGGTCTCTGGCCCCGCTATTGAAAGCATTTGCCAACAAGCAATCGACGGTTCTTCAAGAGATATGCATTGAAATGAATCCCTTATGCCATTACGAAGTGCTCCTCATTAGTCAAATCAAAACACTGAAGTATGTAGAGTGTCAATTCATCGATCCTCGAAGTATCAAGCTCTTGGCTAGTCTGCCTCTTCTTCGGCACTTGCGCATAAAGTCGGTGAATAATTTGAACGACATTGCGGAAGGCGTTTTGAGTGTTCTCTTGGGGTGCGGCAATGAAGTATCTATTATTCGAGAGTACCGTGAGATTACGTACATCAAAAATCTTCAGAAACTTAAAATTGTAAACGCTTCTTACGAGGAGTTGGTGTACAACGCTCGGGATTATGCGCTGCTGGCTCAGCTGCCTCCTTTGAATACTCTATATATTGAAGGAGTGCACACGCTTGGCTCATTTACAGATTTATTCCAGGCACTTGGAGAGGTCAAGAATTCAGCTCTTCAGGAAATTCAGATTGTGCAGAGTAGGATTAGTTATACTTTTCCGAAGCCCACGATCAACATAGATGAAGCTAATGCTATTACAAAAATATTGACTCTGAGAAAACTAAAATGTGGATTCGTGGATGGTGATAGCATTGATGTCTTGGCTCAGCTAACAGCGCTTGAAGAGCTCTTCATAACAACCCACAAGCAGGGCTCTCTTACACCGTTCCTCAAAGCACTATCTTTGCGTAAGTCATCAAATCTTCGATGTTTGATCGTAGAGGAGAATCGACTTACTGCTGAAGAAACCGCCCAAGTTTCAAAAGTAAACTCATTGAAGAGATTGGAATGTGGATTTGATGGACATAATATTGAATCGCTGGCTCAGATGAATAACCTGGAAGAACTTATTATAACATCAATAGAAAAAGAAATATTGTCGCAATTGATTGAAGTATTGGCTGCTGGAGGTCCGCGCACTCTCCGTCTCCTGGATATAATATCTACACCCATTGACCTTAGCGACTCACAGTTTCTAGTTGAAATTCAAACATTGGACAGCTTACACTGCGCATTCACCCACAATGAGAGCGTTGAGCTTTTGGGTGAATTGCAGTATCTTCGTGATCTGTCCTTGCATTTAATGCATCACAAGTCGGATAATGATAGTATTAAATGCATTGCACAGTTCAACAACTTAACTGCACTTGAAGTCGTATCAACAGAGGTGGGATCCCTAACGGGTCTCCTCAAGGCGATGTCGCTAAGGTCAAACCAGATATTACAGAGTCTGAATATTACAGAAAATGACGTGAGCCCTGAAGAGATTCGGGAAATAATCAAAATAAATTCGCTTCGCAGACTGAAGTGTGGATTGGCTAAAAAGGAAAGCTTGCATTACTTAACATATTTGAAAGATCTTGAAGTGCTCGAAATCACTTCGTACCATGACTATCATGATATTTCCCAAGATCTTTTACGAATTTTAGAAGTGTGTTGCAAATTGAAAGCCATTGACTTTTATTACGGCACACGATTTGCATGTGTGGAGTTTATAAGTGCAGCCTTGAAGGTCCTTAAGGCGGTCAGGAACCCAATCGAACAAGGTCCACTAGAGTTACGTGTTCCATATTTTGCAGGCCTAACACCGGAGCAGGTAAGTTTACAGCGGTGCAAAAAATATTGATCAAGTTTATATATTTTCTTATTTCTCTTGCAGAGCGCTTTAAATTCGGAAGCATACTTGAAAATATCTAAATTTGAAAATTATTTATAAAAAATTGTATAAAATAAAATACCTCGGTATGGTAATTATTGGCATTATAATTAATAGTATATGTGCTTAACTGTGAAGGGGGTTTCCAACATAAGGAGAGCCTTAAAATATATCAAACATATTTAGCTCCATCATCCATAGTAATTGTTATTTTGGCAAAGTAAAACTGTCTCAATCCATTCAACTTTCTGAACTTTGCAGAAAATAAGCTGAAGCGGATATTTAAGTTCATCCAAATCCAATTACTTAATAACCAATTTTTATTTGCTAAGTTTATTAGTGAAATATTCCAGTTTGGCACTCGAAACGAAAAGATTCCACCCAATCTCCAATTTTTGTAATTTAATTAAACTTATTTCATGGGCAAGACGACAGTGACAGCAAACAAAAATCGAAAAATTGAGAATGGGGAACGCAAAAGCTGTGAAGCTAACTCTAAAGAAAGGAGGAGCTTACTTTGAGACTTCTTTGAGCACCTTCAGATGGCAATTAATTTCTGGCTAATTAGGTAACGCAACGCCTTAAAACTGCCAGTCCACGGATTCGCCCGTTAGTCGTTCGTACATTTTTTTTGCACAGATCAAAAGAAATACGCCCATAGCTTATATACCCTTTTAGTGAAATCTAACGAGCATGTAAATCACGCGCCAGTACACTCGCAGACAGATAAACATGCGCCAAGCATGGAAAATATACACATACATACATACATACATATACAAGTGAAGGCATAAATCACAATTTCTTAGCCATTAAGACGAAACCGCAAAGATTTGCGGCACTTCTAAAGTTGATGATGAAGCGAGAGCGTCGGGCTTTGCTTCCTAAACACCATGGCCATAATGGCGACAGTACAAAGGATGTGGCAGGACACCCAAGACGGCAAACCGCGAACACTGCCACAAAACTAAAAGTTACGCTTTAAATATTATTGATGATGCAAATTATGGCGAAAAGCGTGAATTAAAAATACAAAAATTATGAACTGACAAAAATGACTGTTTAAAATAAATACA